ATAGGAAGTAAGGATATGCTTAAAAAAAATCTAACCAAACAAAAAATCATACCACATTAATGGAAGTATATTAAAAGTAAATAGGACAACTACGAGAGCTCCAGTGGCCAAAGCTGGGACAATTTGAACAACAAAATAAAGGAGTATTAGATTATAACTCAAAGTATAAAAGAAATACCTGTGTGTCCATATTCACATAAATAAATGTTAAAATAAAAAGGGAGAAAAGACAAATCTCCCATGCAGAAAAAGAAAATCCACATATTTTATCTACATATTCTACCAGCAAAAGGAGCAGAAATCCTCACTCTAACTGTGGGCCACTGTAGTGACTTCTATCCAAGGAGGATAGCATAGAAAGAGGGGAAAATGGTAACTTTACAGTGGAAAAATCTGGCAAACACTATCTCATTCAGGTGATGACAGTAAACATCACCAGTAATAAATCATGTTGATAGTATGTATTCTTGATAAGTAATATGGGGCAAATTTCTAAACCTCTAGTGGCTTCTAGAATAGTAAGATCTACTGTAATGGCATTTTTCCAATGTTAAGCACAATACATGCAAAATGTCTACCACCAGTCCTGGCCCATAATAGATACTGAAAAACAGTATTCATAATTAAGAATAAATGTTTGAAAAGTGCTCTAATTTTTTGCTTTCAAAATGATTGACTGAGGTGTCATTGATGTAGTAATATCTCTTATTTGATAGACTTTGTTTCAAATTTATAATACGGTCTTTTCTATTTAGATCTTTGCATTGTTGAGATCTCTAATATTGAAGAGATTTGTATACATTATTATTTTGTTATGGCTGCATTTGTAGTAAAGGCTTGTGTTTCTGCTTCTGTCTTTCCATCTTGAGTTGGCTCAACACTGCCTCAAAAAGTATCACGCAAGAAAAAAAGTACCTGCTGGGCTAGACTTCAGAGTAGTCTTTTTTTTTTGAGATGGAGTTTTGCTCTTGTTACCCAGGCTGGAGTGCAATGGTGCGACCTTGGCTCACCACAACCTCCACCTCCTGGGTTCAGGCAATTCTCCTGCCTCAGCCTCCTGAGTAGCTGGGATTACAGGCACGTGCCACCATGCCCAGCTAATTTTTTATATTTTTAGTAGAGACGGGGTTTCACCGTGTTGACCAGGATAGTCTTGATCTCTTGACCTCGTGATCCACCTGCCTCGGCCTCCCAAAGTGCTGGGATTACAGGCTTGAGCCACCGTGCCTGGCCTCTGAGTATTCTTAAATGTTCTGAGATTTCTGCTTACCACTGCCCTATTAAAGCTGTAAAAAATAATCAGGATATCCAACTCTTATCTGTTCTTAGGATGTCTCCTCTCCTGTCAATGCATTATTTCAATACCAATTTGCAGACTTTGACACCAGTCCTTGTTAATGAGTATATAGTATTTGACATTCAAAAGAGATGGTAGATGACACTGCTAATGTTGCATTATGAAGAAACTGGAGTTAACAGAATGTTTTAAGATATCAAAAGATTAAATGAGACAACTGTGTTTGCTAGACACAAGTTTCCTAGGAGGTTAAAGGCATATTTTCCTGTTTCTCAAAAAGTAATTAGAGCCAATTTGTGACAAGCTGAATGTGTTAAAGAAAAGTTTTTTTTTCCAAAACTAAACAACAGGTAACTTGGATATGCCAAATCTTGGCTTGTAGGTTTAGAAATCACGGGCAGTGGCTTATTTAAAAGCATCTTACACCCGATTTTTGCCTCTTACCTCTTTTTGTCATGCTTTCCTGTGTGAATCAGACAGACTGGAATCAAACCTTTTGCAATAAGAGTCACAGATACATCCTCATCATGTGGTTCTTAAGATAGCTGGCTTTGTTTTGTTTTAATTTCTGATAGCCAAAGAACCAGTCATCTCAGATCACCCTTTCCCAAATTTCCTCTGTAACAACCGATAGAATAGGATGTTTTTAAGACATGGAATGAAATTGCAATCTGTATCAAATTAGGTGCTTACATTTTTAAAGGTAGCCGTTTCTACAAACATTCTCTTTTCCAACTATATAACTCCTTAATTTCTATAACTCTCTGCAATAGTATACCTTATTGACTTTGTTGTTTCCCTTACTAGCGAATTAACTTTGACTCACGCCCAAGATGTAACCAAGAAAAGTGAAGGAGGCCAGGTGTAGTGGCTCATGCCTGCAATCCCAGCACTTTTGGAGGTCAAGGCCTGAGGATCCTTAAGTCCAGGAGTCCAGAGAGTAGTCTGGCAATATAGCAAGACCACATCTCTACAAAAATTTAAAAAAAGAAAAAAGGTGAAGGAAAAGACATAGCTCACAATTCTGTCATAAATTTTTCTCTAGCATACACTTTCCTCTAACATTCTAGTGGCAGTAGAAGTGATGTTCCTGTTAATTGCAAGATAACACACAATGGCCAATTTTTAAATAATTTAATGTTTCAACACTAAAGATTCTGTTTTTTAAACGGTTTTAATTAGGTCTTTTCCTTTTGGTGTCTTTTAGGCAATGACTCAACCATTCATTTATTCACTTAAGAAATATTTATTGAGCATCTATTCTGTGCCATCTACTATTTTAGTATTTTAGGTACTAAGAAAACATCAGTGAACAAAATGCAAAAAAAAAAAAAAAAAAAAAAAAATCCGTGATCTTGTGGAGCTTATATTCCAGCAGAGGGAAGGCAAGAGAAAATAAAAATAGAATATGACGATGTCAGAAAGTAAGTACTATGAAAAAAAACAGAAGCAAAGAAGGGAGAATGCTGGGGAAGGGGCAATATTTTAAATGAGATGATTAGGGTAGGCTTCTTTGAAAAAAGATGACTTTTAAGCAAAGATTGGACCGAAGGGGATGATCTAGCCATGAGGGTATTTGGTGGAAAGATCTTTCCAGATAGAAACTATACACAGTGCAAGGGCCTCAGGGCAAGATGTCTTGGCGTTATAGAAGCAGGGAGTAAGTCTGTGTAGCTGGAGCTATGTCCTCAGCAGAAATGAGGTCAGAAGGGTAGAGGTGAGGTAGGACTTAGGAGACCAGCTAGCATAGGACTTTTAGATTGCAGAAGACTCTGGCTGAGAAAATTAGGGAGCCATTGGAAGAGGCAGTACTTTGGTTTGCTCATAAGTCTGTAGACACATTTCTGAATGTTAAAGGCATATCCGTGTCATATCACAGATCGGTCCAAATCTCAAGTGTCAACATTTAATTTATCACCTTTAAAATAAGTGAAATGCCTTGCTTCTAGAAAACAGAAAAATATGTGGTGAATAAAACTGAATATTCAAGACAGACGCGCACATTGGAGTTTTAATTCACTAGCTGGTATCTTAAATATTAATGAGCCTCCTCCTCTGTTTTCTTATTTACAGGTTGCAACAGTATCTTTTTCCAGGTTCCTCATTGTCTCTAGTATCTCTTGGTTTCCTTTGATACCTCAGTCCAGATAGGATTTCCAAGCTAATTTTCTATTTGTGGCTTAATCTGTCAATACCAGTAACACATTTTATTGTATTGCAGAGGTCAGAATTTTGCTGGTCCAGCAGTGTGGACGTGATGTACAGAATTCGGATTAAAATAACAAACCACTTTGCTTAAATAAGCTAAATTGAGTAAAATCAGTTTTTCTTGAATTTTTGCAGGACTGCTCAAATGAACCCTTTTGTTTCCTTGACACAACAGAGATAATACAAGGTTTGTAATGCCCTTATTATTTTGAGAATTTAAGAGTAATGTATTAAGTAAATTTCATTTAGCACAATAGTACTATTGTTAAATGGAGGGAAAAGATTCTAGCACAGGGGAAGAAACTCCTGGCTTTAGTTTTCCAAAATGCTTTTGTACCTCTTGTAAAAATGAGATGGAAGTGTTTTTAATGTCAAGTCCGAAAATTTACTTTTTAATTTCCTTGGAAACTGGTTTCTAATATAAAACAGGGTAGCACACTTTCCCAGCATGTTCAGGCACACTACTTTCATCACAATTCAGGTAGAAGTGACTGTCTTTAAATTCCATACATCGCAAACCATCTAGTGGTAGATCTAGAAAGGCGTCAGCTCAGGGACTTCTATGCACATTGGTTCCAGAGTTTAATTCCATTTAGGCTGGGGCTATTTACAATAACATTTGCTAAATTTGCTCACCCTGCTACACAAGCATATTGTATTAAGAAGCCAGTAAACCCGTAGAGATAGCAGGTAAAACGTAAGGCCTCTTTTACTTTTTTTTTTTTTTTAGAGATGTCTTACTAGTAGCATAATTAAACCTCCATTGTTAGGCTGCTAGGCAGGTGCTGGCCAATCACGTCAGCGACAGTCGTAATTTTGCTAGGACAGGGTAAAGCCAATAAGCCCGTATCGTATCTACAAACTGTCTCGGACCCCAAGAACTCACTGAGGATTGGCAGGGACAAATGAAAGTTTCTGTCAAAGTTTAGGAGAAAAGGGCCGCGCAGGGAGCTGTTTCAAGTAACACTTTAATCGCAGAAGAAAGCCGAACCCCAAGAGTACTCTTCGGTCGCCGCGGGGCCAGGGAGATACGAGAGGGAAGTTTTTCTACGGGAAATCTGCCGCCTTGTCCCCCGAGAGCAGTGAAGTCCGCAGCTCCATCACTCGAAGTGCTGTTCTCTGCCATTCTCTCCCCTCCCCAGTGCCGGCCAACCGTAGTGGGCGGCGGAGGATGCGCCGGCCCGGCGGGCGCCTGCGTCGGTTCAGCAGAGGCTCTGGTGCTGTGGTCTCTCTGCACTCCCAGTGGTCCCAAGTTGGCCCAAGCGCCCAGACCTGGGGTCCTCCCCGCCGCGCAGAGCCGAGAGCCGAGAGCCCGCCTCCCCTTCTGGGCGCGCCGGCGCTATGGAGACGGTCACGAGACGCTGGCTGCCCCTGCGCCCGCCAATGGGAGCGCACGTTGTAGGGAGACGCGGACGTCGCTCTTCCAAGATGGCGGCGCGTCCGTCGCGAGCGACCGGGCCGGGGGGAAGCCAGCGAAGCCGAGTAAAGCCGCAGCCTGGGAGAGGACTGAAGGAGCAGTTGCCGCCGTTGGCGGCGGCCCGAGCAGTTTTCGCTGCTGCTACGGCTGTTGCCATGAGGCGAGGTTAGGGAGGACCTCACTTCCCCGGGGTGTAATAATGTTAACTGAGGTAAGCGGCGATGGTGGCCAGTGTTTACCTGTGAAATGGGGAAGGGGCCGACGCCAGCCGGTCAGAGAACATCATCTGTCCGGATGGTGGGCCTGACCCTACGCCGCGGGCCCCGGGGCCCGAGGAGCAGCGGGGATCCTACAAGTGCCCCCAGAGTAGGAGCTGTGCTGACTCAACAGAGTCCCACCACCTCCGGCTGCCCGTGCCTCGCCTTTCGCAGCTGCCACTCGCCCCTGGCACTGGTCTCCGTCCTGCTGTCGCTCCCTTCTAACTCATCGCTCCCTTCTTGGTGTCTCCTTACACGCTACTCTGTGGCAGCGTTGGCCTCCCCACGTTACAGCTGGTTCCTGTTCTAAGGTTTGCCCAAGGTCTCCTTTCTCCGGTCCCTGGGCTCCAGGGCCCTCCGCCTCCGAGCTCGGTCAGCATTCTGAGGTTGTTGCTCGGCCCGACCGGTGTGTTTCCCATTCCCTACTTTGCCTGCTTCTTGAAGTGGACTTCAGGCTACAGTTGGATGGCTCAGTTGTGTCACCCCCCTCCCCCACACCCATCACCTTTAGCTTAAATCGTGGTCATCGACGAAGTTCGGTTTAGCATCTGCCTCTTAGATTTGCGTGTGGCCCCCTTGCTACTCTCTGTGGAATAGTTTTTTTCCTTGGACCTGAAATGGAAGTAGGGCAACTATGACGAACCAATCAATTTCCCTTTTCTGTGCCTAATGGCATTTCAAAAAGCTGACTTTTTGAAGAAGTAGAGTTTGCCTTTACTGGCAGCACTTTAAGGGGAAGAACTAAATTGGTGCAACTAGGTACTTGACTCAGGTTAGCCCAGTTATGTGTAGTAGTATCTGCAGGTGTAGGTGTCACTGAACTTAAAATACGGAAGCTTGTGATTTGATGAAATACTTTTTTCGAAGCCGTTCACTTTTAAGTACTGTGAGGATCCTGACATTTTTGTGGGCTGAACTGAGAATAGGAAACAGCTTTAGTGGGCATTGGGCAGTATTCCTACGTGGGCCAAAAAGGAAAGAAAAACATTTGTAGGTGAATGGTTTTTATTTTGTGACAAGTGATGATAAAGCACGCACTTGCCTGAAATTTCAAGTCCTTGTAACTTGACTAACTTTGAGGAACTTTATACTTTGCTGTTTGTACCTAATCTAAGCACAGAGCCTGGCATATAGTAAATACTTACTGGTTGGTTGTAACTTCTGCACCACGTATTTTTGGTTGTTTGAAGTTCACTTATATTTCTAAATTATACAGGTTTTTCATTCTTGGAGTTAATTTCATTCTTGGAGATTATAGTTACATTATAAGCTTGTGTTGTGATTAGCAGTAATAGATTAGAAAAAAGACTTACGAGTGGCAGAAGTTTCATTTTTACCATAAGTGTGATATTGTGGTGGGAACAATTAGCCTTATAATAAATGTTTAGTCTCTAATGTATAATGTTATATGAGATGATCTTTTGATTAAACTTGGCTTATGTTAGCATGTTTTAGAGTTCTAATACTTTAAAATGAAGTGCTCTTTTGTCTGCCAGTAAAATGATTTGGAAAGACAGAACTTTCCCAGCTTCTGTATTTTAATGCAATTTTGTGTTTTAGAGAAATATTTTAAGCAGTAAATCAGTGATAGTATTAAGTAAACTGTACTTTAGTGCTTTTTGTGTGAACACTGCACAGCTTATAAGTGGCAAAACCAGGATTCCAACCTTGGCAGTTACTACCTAGCCCATTGTATTAACTTCTTCTCTAGATTGCCTCTCCAAAGTAAGGCCCAGATTAAATTGTACTCAAGTTTTCGCTATAGTTTTTAGTAGTCGATTAAAGATTAGGAAACTGAAGCCCAGAGACTCTTGTCCAAGGTCAATTATTAAATATTAGTGACAGTTGAAACTAATCTCATCTCCTAACTCTCAGTAGAGAGCTCTGACCATTTTGCTCAGCTGCCTTTCAAGTAGTTTTCAGCTCTCTTGATAGATTTTAAAACATACTATTGTACTTCCTTGTCTGAATATTGTCAGTAAACTGAAAATGATTATTACTTTTTGCTTTACCTTAGCTTTTTTTCCTTTTCATTTTTTAAACAAGGCTTCTATGCCTCGTAAAATCGTTCTATTTTGATGTATTTTAGATATAAAATTTCACTCAGTATTGGCTACTAAAAATTAGTATGGGACTTCCTTTTATTACTTTTCCTAGACATTGCTGACTTAGATCACCAGCTTTTAGGAGATGTGATTTAATTTATGTTAGGTCTCAAAATGTGTACAGATAAGCTGCTATGAAAGATTCCCCTGTCTTTATGATAGTAATGCTCAGCATTTACTGTGCTCAGAAAGTGGTGAATTGTACTATATGCTTGGTTTCTTTACATCTCAGCAGTGAGATAGGTGATATCCCCATTAACCAATGATAAAACAGATTGGGAAAGTTAAAATAGCTTGTTTAAAGTTATATAAAAAGTAGAGGAGACAGGAATCACATTTAGGTCATCTTAATCCAAATTATGTGCTTTTTGTGATTCAGTATGGAATACATCATTAATTTTCTTTGTAGCTGATAACATCAGCATACTATTTTTAGTTTTTTTTTTTTTTTTTTAACGGAGGTGAGGATACCAAGTACATAGATACATAATGAGAATGGTAATGTTAAATGTTCATATAAAACTTTTCAGTTTTGCATTTTGTCAAAATATATCTTTTTTTTTTTGAGACAGTGTCTCGCTCTGTCACCCAGGCTGGAGTGCAGTGGCACAATCTGACCTCACTGCAATCTCCGACTCCCGGTTTCAGGTGATTCTTGTGCCTCAGCCTCCGGAGTAGCTGGGTTTACAGGCCTGAGCCACTGCACTTGGCCAAAAATATATCTCTAATTGAAACCATTTCAGAAATGAAAAGCCACACAGGTGATCAATTAAGGGCTATTTTAAGTTAAGCTAAAATGGAAAATCACTCAACTGGGCAAACTAATATGTACATTGAACTTTGAACCTATGAAATATGATAGATTAGTGTAAATTGAAAGTATAGCCCTGATTATAGTTCTCAATCTAAACTTTTTGGCTTCAATTTGTATTATTTTATCCTAAATACAATAGAATTATTTAGAAAACTTGCTAATCATATTCACGTATTTTTTTTTTTTTTTTTTGCTTTTTACATACAGTGACGAACTGTATGTAATGTCTAGCTAGGCTTTTTTTTTAATGTCTGGTTAGATTTTTTTCCCCTTCTGTTCTTGCTTTTATTAGGACTTCCGGCTCCTAATGTGACTCCTGCTATACATTGCAAAAAATTTGTCATAGTGTACCTGAAAATTATTTGTTTAGTACTCAGCTTTCCTCTATCCCTTCTTTTCTTTTTCTTTTCTTTCTTTTTCTTTCTCTTTCTCTTTCTTTCCTTTCCTTTTCTTTCTCTCCCTCTTCTTTCATTCTTTCTTTTAGCAGTAAACTACATATATCCAAATTAGGGCATGGGATGTTTGTTTACCTGAAAATTTGTTTTAATGACCCTGAATTTTCACAACATTCGAAGATAATGAGTTTTTTATCAGTGAATTTTCATCAAACACACTTTTAAACTTTTCTTGATACTTCAAGAGCAATTAGGTTTATCTTTTCTTGATACTTCATGAGCAATTAGGTTTACAATTCTGAGCATTTATAATTACGGAAAACTAAAGGTAAGAAATGTAGGAAAATATGCTGAATACTTTTCAGTGTTGTGGTGTTTGGAGATTGTTTTTGCATAAAAACCAGTTATCAACCTGTTGTCACTTGTCACGTGTTTCTAAAAATAATAAAAAGTATAGTTATTTAAAGTTATTAGTTTGAGTTGTTTATAAATGTGGATCATTAAGTGACTATTAAATAAAAATAGGTTGTATTTATGTTGTAACTTCCATCCAGATTTGTTGATTTTTCAGTATTAACTGATTCTCGGAGTTAACAGATCTGATATAAATGGGAAAAGGCATAAACTGCAGCACTTTGAGAAGTTCGACATTAATAGTTGTTAAGGAGGTAAAAGATTTTGTGGTTCAAATAAATTTGGAGGATATTTGCCTAAAGAAAGTTAATAGGTTTTCTCTCTGGTGGACTTCCCATAGCTTTTGATAGGTGATTTATTTTCAAAGAAGATGATAGAATTTACAGCATATTGCAAAGTCATTTAACCATGGAAATGAAAATACTTCCTTGTATTTCACTTAGAGAAATCCTGAATGATGAGTTACGTATCAAGAAGGGCTCCCTGAACATCCAGGGTCCTTTTGAATACACACATACACCCATTCACATACAGTTGTCTTGTCCGTAAGTGCTTGGTAAAATATTATTACTTGGTTTTGTTGATTAATATATTTGTAATAGAAATATTCTTGGGGTAGATTAATCCTTAAGTGAAATAAGCTATTTCTTTAATTATTAATGACATTGCAAGAGCTACTAACCAGAGCAAGAAGTCCACAGCTTCACTGGCATTCAGAGGGTGTTAAAGGGTAGGAAAGGATTTTATAATGGGAGGGGAAGGACATCAGTATCTAAAATGAGTTTGGCTTGTCAATCTACACACAACCTTACTTGACATCTTTGGACAAACCAAGAGGAATGTTGATAAACATTCTTAAATAATTATTTGAAAATGAATATTGTAATTGAGAGTCATACTTGTATACATTTATGTGGTATATTGTGATATTTTGAAATGTGTATACAGTGTAGAGTGATTTAATGCAGCTGAATAATATATAATCTTATTTTTTTGTGGTGAGACACTTGAAATTTAGTTATTTAAAAATATAATACATTATTATTGACAGTTGTTTAATTGATTTAAAAATTTCTTCCATCTGTCTATCTGAAATTTGTACTCTTTGAGCGGTATATTCCCATTGCTCCTTCTCCAGGCTCTGGTATCTATCATTCTGCTGTCTACTTCTGTGAGTTTGACTTTTTAAAATTCCACATGTAAGTGAGATCATGTGGTATTTGTCT